AGCAGCGACAGTGACACCGACACCGACACCGGCGCCGGCACCGGCACGGCCCGCGGCGAGCGCCCCGAGCTGGCCCGCGCGCTCCCCGACACCAGCGGCCTCAGCCGCGAGGCGCTCACCTGGTAGGAGCCCGCGCGCACGCGGGGCTGCTGCTGCTTGCTGTGAATATCCACGGGTGTGAGGCTTTACGCCGCCTGGAGCAGCCGTACAGGGGGCCTCGGGAGGCTCCTTCTCCGGGGGTCTCCCAAACCCACCCGCATGCCGCCCTGTGCTCCCTGCTGGAGCAGGGGGTTGGACTAGGTCATCTGTAGGGGTCCCTTCCAATGTCAACCACTCTGTGGTTCTGTGGTTCAGGTCACTCGCACATCCAAGGCTCAGAACTAATCTTCCCCTGCATTCCCTTTCCCAACTGCTTTTTGAACTTGAATTCTCAGTGTACAAACCTGTCAACTGTTGAGGTGATGGGGAGCACAGAGAACAGCTCTTGTATCAATGGAGAAATCCGAGTGCAGCGCCGGGAGCCGCTGGCGGAGATGTCCTGCCACGCAGAGATGCATTCCTGCTGTAACCAGTGCCCGGAGCTGGGAGTGCGGGAGCTGTCTTTACCTTCTAGTTGCCTAGCCTGAAAATGGACCGAACCCCAAATCACAGCACCTGCATCACAGAATCACAGCATGGTTGAGATTGGAAGGCACTTCTAGAGATCATCTAGTCCAACCCCCTGCTCAAGGAGTGACCCCCAGAGCACATTAGATAACGTTCACTTCTCCCATATTGTTTAACCTTAAATGAAATCGGTGATTAACAGTTACACAGCCCCGTTTTTGCTCAGGGAGTTCTGCCCCCTGTATATTTGTTTGCTTTTTGTTTTTCTCCAAAGTTGACAACATGTAGCTTCTCTTGGAGGTAACTCTGAGCAAGAGACTTACTGTGAGTCAGAGATTTAGTTAATAACTGTTCTCAATATGTAGCATATGGGTGCTGTCATTTCAGTAGATTACAGGTTCAACTTAATCTCAAGATTTTGTGATGCTCTCTTCACCAAGAGCCTTCACTAAGTTTATCACCCACAGAAGATATTAGGACATTTACATTATGAAATAATCAATTCTGAATGTGTATATTTACAATTGGTAGAGAAAATTAACTGCTTTTTTAAGTGTCGGTGATAATAAGTGATTTTTTTTGCGCTCTAACATCCTTTTCCAATCTCCTTTGCCATGCTCTGGGCAGCAAGGATGGAGAAGTGCTTCTGTATTACTGTTACTGTGAGGTGAAGGATCCAGAGAAGCTCTGTGCATGGCAGAAGGCCCTGTGCCAGCACCTGCATCTGACGGGCAAGGTGAGGCTCTCTTGCTGAGTACAGGGTGGTGGGTACGTCACAAGCAGCCTCCTGCACTGCCCGAGAGGGAATGGGACAAGTGACAGCCTGGATCCAACATTGGGATAGCACTGCTTGCCCCTGCAGGGCTGCTCACTTCTCCTCATCCCCTGCAGACCAGGCCCGAGGAAACCTGTGGTGAACTGTAGCCTTGTGAAGCTGCTTGTCCTGGGCTGCTTGGGGACAGAAAGGTTTTCTCTCGAGATTGAGTCAGAACAGAGGCTATATTTGACTTGTCTTGCAAAGGAGCCTCTTTCTGTAACCTAAATTTAACCCATGCCCTGCTGGCAGACATCTTCACCTTGGCAGGAGCATCTCCAGTTCGGAGCAGGTGCCACATTTCCTTCTCTCTGATTTTCAGTTCCTAACTCCTGTCCTTATAATGCCTGCTCTTTTGTTTGTGTTTCTTATTTTCAGGCCTTTGCTTCATCTTTAGGCATTTTGGGAGATATTCTGAGCATTCTTGTCAACCACTTGTGGCCTAACTCCACAGAAATTACAGTATGGTCAGTAATTTCTCTAGCACAGGATGAACTGTGCCTTCAAAGCATTGTGTTCTCTCTCAAAGTTCATACAATTCTTACTATTTCTTGTTATATTTATTTTTTAATTTTTTTTTTTTTTTTTTGGAAATGGGACAGAAATTTCTCATGATATTCTGGCTTCACTAATAAATATGCATCTTGTCCGTGACTTTTTCCCAGAGCTGGTGCTGTTCAAAATAAAACATATTCAGTGTTCTGCCTGTGCAGAGACAACCTTCCTTATTCTGAAGGAAAGAAAGGAAGGTGCCTTGCTCCAAGACCTGTGTAGTAAACTAAGGAAAATGTCCTAACGCATTTAAGTTTTTGCTTGTCTGTGGTTTTCCTTGTTTATTTTGTTTTTGTTTTCAGATATCTTACCTCCTGTTGTTTTCCAGGGTGGGTACAGTGTTTGCCTTTCCGACAAGTTCTCTTTAATTCAATCTTTTTTTTTTTTTTTGCCAACATCTTGGGTTCTCTGTCAGTGCTGTTGTATAAAATGACTCACACTGCGACTTATTATTACATGCAATGTTACACATACATTTTCTAGCTACCTGAGTCACTGGGCCCAATGGCATTGCTCTTCCTTGGGCAGATCTCCTGTGGGAATTTCAACCCTGCCTTCAAGATTTGCCTGCTAACTAGTTACAATTTCTCTGCTTATTACACATATTTTTTTCCTGACTTGTTTTGCTGTTTTTCATATAAAAAGGCCCCAAAGTGTTTATGCATGTTTGCTGCAGTTTTTATATGTTTTTTTTCCACTCAGGTTCATTGTAACTCTCTCCCATTCCTTCCCTCTTCAGTTGCCTCTTTCATGAAGATGCTTCTTTGCCTGCCTTTAGCTACCTGGTCATATTTTGCTAATATTTTGCTAATGTCCCTGTGATCTGTTTTTGCTGTTGCCAGATCTTAACCCCAGCTTCTCCTCCTGGCCTCTAGGTACGAGTTGCGTCAGAGGGAATTAATGGAACAGTTGGTGGAAGCAAAGTTGCCACTAATCTCTACATCGAAGTTATGCTTTCCCAGCCACTGTTCAAAGACATCTTGTGTCGAGACGATTTCAAGGTATGAGAAAGCAGTTTCTAAGGACACATTGTTAATACCAGATGCTTAATTTGGGGGAAATAAGTTAATTGTTTCTTGGTAGTACCCCTATGTGGCTTGAAAGAAATTGGCACATAGCTCTAGCTCTTCTGTTCTCCCACCGCAGACCTAAGGAGGGGATTTCTAAACTTGCTGTGTTTGGTGTCTCTGCCAGTGAAAGCAGCAGTAGCAGCAGCACCTACAAACTTTGGCAGCTATGGGTATAGCTGCAAAGAAGGAAGCATGCTCCAGCTCCACTATTTGTTATCAGATTTTTACTCCAAGTTGACTGCTGAAGTCTGTACATCACAGTTTGCACTTTTGTCTGCAAAATGTTTGCATTTGTACCCCTTCACCCTGTTCTGAGATCCTGCCAATTGGTTTAGCTACATGCAGACTTTGGTATCCTTACAGACGTGCAGTCAATTCCACAAATCAGATATTTTCTAAAGAAAATACACAGTCAGAGTCAGAGAGTTGGAATTTCTCCCCACTGTAATTAGTGTCTCACTGGAGGAAGAGTGAGGTGCTACCTTCTGCTGTTTTCACATGGTGATGGCAGGTGTAGCTGGCTCTGTGTAGTATTCTGGAAGGCTTTTTGTTTTTTTCTTTCCATCACTATGGATACTGCATTCTTTGAAGAAAAAAAGGTGCTGCTTCCACTTAGTATTGTCATCTCTCAGAAACTTTTATTTATAGGTAATATTATATTTTCCATAAATAACGAAATTAAAGTAAAAAGTGTGAGGCTAAAATCACTATTTAGAATTGCAGTGCTGATACAGCCTTTAACAACTCTTTAAGGGTCTGCTGTGCTTGTTTGAAGATGGTCCAACCTGCTATCTGTGTGCAGATGTGCAGGCAAATCAGGGATGGACTTTTATGTCAGCACTGGCAGAATCTCCAACCCTGTGTGATTTCTCTGGGCACCAAAGCTCATGCATTAGTACGTGTTGTTTTCTGTCTCAGAGTTCCTCTGTGTGCTATAGTCACAAGTAGATGAGGTTTCAGTTCCTCTTCCTAAAGGACAGGGGCATACGGATGTGAAAAATGAGCCTTGATCTATGAAAACGCCCAGTGGCCACTGTAGTTACTACAGACTGACTTTCAGTCAATTTAGCTCACCGCTTACCCGTGAGAGCCACAGCAGTGCTGCACAGTATCACATTCTCACATTTAGGTATTTAGTACTGCCCAAGTCGTGTTTGAGGCTTTACCCTGCAGAAATAAACCCCCTGCAGTGATGGTGCTTGGGGCTGCCAAGGCTCTCAGAGGGGACATCCTATGCATGAGCTTGTGCATGGCTTTTAAAGTTTTAACCCTGGCTGATCCCCCATCGTGCCTGTTTTAAGCCCATGAAGCGCTGCAGTTCCCCTCACACATACAGTGACAAGAGGCCTAGCTGTGCTTCGTGTCAGGGATCAGGAGGGCTAAAGTGAACAGCAGAGCCCAGAAGCATTAGCAGGATCACTTACCTGAAGGGTTTATTTATTTAACTGAATATATGATTGAAAAATATATTTTTTTCTGTTGATGTCAGCATGCTCAGAAGCCTGACATTCTCCCAAAGGTGCTAGTGATGCTGATTCTAAGAAGTCTCTATGTCTGCTCCCTCTGTGGTGGCTCTGCTGGGACTGGATCTGGTGCCAGCTAGTGCCCATCTCATGTGTCACACGGTCACTGGGACAAAAACACCTGCCTCTTGGGTCATGGTAACAGCTGCTCCCTGAGCTCTGGATTCAGGAGTTTTGATCTTGGCAGGGAACAAGTTTCTTTGCCTCTGACATTGCAATCTTGCTGTGTTCTGCTGAATGGATATGCATATTTGAGTGCATAGTCATGCTCTGGGTGGCTCGGACATTCCCATGGGTTGTTTTGTGCTTAACTTCCTAGAGCAGTGCGGGAGGAGCTCACTGCTTCCCAGACCTTCGAGTTGGAGTGTTTGAAGAAATTGTACCAATGGGCATTGATCCGAAAAAAGTCTCTTACAAAGAAACTGGTAAGTTGATTGCAAAAATAAAACCTCACACCTGAGCGAGAGATAAGTGAAAGTAAACTACCTGCAGCAAAAAGCCATTTCCTTCAGCACAGGGGCCAGGACACGGGAGAACTGGGTAATGGAAGTTAATCTGGTTTTGGTAGACAGAAGTACTGGTGCAGAGAATTCACTAGCCCAGGTTTTAGTTTGCCAAGTATTCAGCTGCTTCAGAAGGCTCAGAATTAACCATCTGTTTTGTGTCAAACTACAGGAGTTCAAATGATATCAAACAAGGTAACTACCTTGTTTTAGGTGAGCAGTGCTGACCTTCAGTCAGGGAATTCATCCTGGGACATCTATCTGCTAAAGGCAAGGTGAAATTATGTTTCATGATTGGGAAGGTACTTCAGTGCGAGGATATATTTGTTTGTTCTAAATATTCTGTAGAAGCTTGAGACAGCTCAGGTGTGATACTGTATACAGAGCTCCGATGCTCTGCCGTTGTGGTTAGCCTGCATTAGGAATCAAGCTGTACAGGGGAATGCTTCCCTTGGAGTCTTCACATGTATCCAGGGGATTTGGGAGACCTGGAAGCTAGAAGCTGTGCTCATTTTTGACAAAACGCTACCTTCTCAAAGATACTTGCAGCTGAAAAGATGCATGTTCCTAAACTAGTGGCCTAGTTTTGCTTCTGCTGAAATTAAGCCTTGCTTGTTCCTGTTACACTGAAGCAGAACCAGGTTCTGATTCAGCTTCTGGCTGTACCCCTGACACGAGTTGCATCTGCTGCCTGTGATGCCTCTGCACGGATTGTGCCCAAGAGAGGGTGGCTGGGTGCTCAGCTGCTGTGAGGGCACTTGCGTAGCTGGCTAGCAGAGGCACAACAAATAACAGCAGAGCAGCTGGCTGTTCCTTTGGACTTTTTTGCACAGCAAGAACTGTGGATGTCATGTATCTTTTTCAGTGTTATTTACAATTTTCTACATATTTTTCAGCAGTTTGGCAAATTGTGAGCCATTTTACAGTTGGAAATGTGAAGGGAAGTTGAATCAGTGAGATCTGTAGTATTGCTTCTTAGCTCTATTTAGCTCTTTTTCAAAAATTCTTTTTCTTTCTTTTCCTTTTTCTTTTCCCTCCTAAGGAATCCATCTGTCCCCTCAGGAATTTCATAAGGAAGTGGAACAACATTTGTCTCAGGCCAGTCAAGGACAAAGTGATACTATTTTACTGGACTGTAGGAACTTCTATGAAAGTAAAATAGTAAGTGCTGTTTGTTTTTCACAGTGTGTTACATGTGCTGGGGGGGAAGCACTTCACATTATGGGTGTGTGATCTTACTGGGAATAGGGGTTGATTTTGACTGGAATAGATGGAGTTTAGTTCAGTGATGAAGATTAGGCTGAACAAGTAAAACTTGTCTGGCTGACTGCTTACACAGCCTGAGGCAGGAAGGAGAACAAGTGGTTAGTAAATAGCCTGAATTAAAAGTAACATGATTTGTAAAGATATATTCCACTATTTTTGCCTTCTCCCATATGTCAAAAAAGGGGCATCCTGCTCTGCTATCTTCCATCTGCCACCACTTCCACATTGCTGTGGTTCATTGTCCCCCATGACAGTTCTGCTCTGCTCAGCTCCCTCTGTATGTTCAAATGAGGAGAAATGCTGTGCCAGGGAATCCTCTTGTGGATTTTAACTGCTATTTTGATGCATAATTGCCGTTGAGGAACTGCCTAAAGCAGCTGCAGTGAGCTGGAAATTCTGCCCTAAAAGTTTGTTACTTCCTCTGGCTTAAGACACAGGCCTTGGCATGTAAGTCAGCCTGCGTTCAGTGGCACGGCCATCTGTTGTCATTCCAGGGCCACTTCCAGGGCTGTCTGGCTCCAGATATCAGGAAATTCAGCTATTTCCCAAGCTATGTGGATGAAAACCTGGAGCTTTTCAGGAACAAGCGTGTCCTGATGTACTGCACAGGAGGGATCCGCTGTGAAAGAGGCTCTGCTTATCTACGGAGCAAGGTGAGATGTCCCTGTGAGGGCACAAGTGTTGGGCACAGGACTGCACATTTGAGGGCAGCTGTCTGTTATTTTGGTTGGCAAATTCTTGTTTAGCATAAACTGCTCAGTCTAAGGAGATGAATGCTTCTGATAGGGGTTTTACTCATGCTGCCTGCCAAGGTAGCAGGTTGTATAACAGCTGAGAATATATGCATGAACTGCAGCAGTGATTGCTCTGTGAAAAGCTGTATTTGCTGAGAAGAGATATCTGTAAGCTTGCCCTGCCCATTGCTGTGGCATTTTAGGAAGGCTTGGGAGCATTTTATAGTGCCCCCATGCCCTTGCCTACAAGCTGTGCCTAGGTCATGCTCTGTGGTTGCTCCTGCACAGCTTGAGCATTTCAGAGTGGTGGAGATGAACCACTGGAATTAAACCAGCCACATTCCATCAGTGGGGTGGAATTAAACCATGACGCTACTTTGTCCGTATTCCACTCTCCACCCCTCTTTATTTTTTCCTGGGTTCTTCCCAGGATCTCTCTAATCCCTCAAAGAGTAAGGGATCAGCATGGGTTTATGTTCTCCAGAAATTAAACCTTCATAATTAAACCTTCACCCTTTTTCACTGACACCATTGGGAAATTCTGTTCCTGTCAACAGAAGCTCACCATATAAAACCGGAGTAATCACTGGTTTACAGAGGTTCAAAAGCATTTTCTGTGTGATGCAAGAGACCTCTAGTAGCCGAGGAGGTTACTTGCCTCTATTGAAATGTGCCATTGCAGCGCGTTTGAGCTCGTGCCACAAGCCGTTCTCGTGAGAGCAGCCCATTAACCTTCCCTGGCCCTAGCTGGAGCTGTGACACAGCGTGTTGCTGTTTGGTCACTGGGAAGCTGCTGCTTGTCCTTGCCCTGTGGGCTTCTTGGCATTTGCTTGGAGCACTCCGGACAGGTTCTGCTGTTTCCCTGAGCATTTTTTTTTTTTTGCAAATATACTTTAAACAGGCGGTGTGCAGAGAGGTGTACCAGCTCAAAGGCGGGATTCACAAGTACCTGGAAGAGTTCCCAGATGGATTCTACCGGGGGAAGCTGTTTGTGTTTGATGATCGTTACGCCATTTGTTCCAATGAAGATGTAATCTCAGGTAGGTCTAAATCTGCACGTGCAGAAGGCTGGGACTCTATAGCAGTGATTGGCACAGAGCTGTGCTGTCCAAGGGGAGTCAAACAGGCCTGTGTAGTCATATCTTCCTCCTACTCACTTGGGTGTTTCGGTGCCGCCACTTCTTGTCGTGGCCATCAGCTGTATAGCTTTAATATCTAAAACATGCAAAGGGGTCACTAAACAGAGTTCCCTAGAGGCAGGGCCATAGAAAAACACATCTTCTGCAGAATGGCTGCTGTCAGTGGCCATCAGCCACTACTGGTTTTGTTGACCCACTTGCTGCGCAGACTGTTGATCAGGCCGTGGTTGGCCAAGGGCCCAAAGCATTAAACAATTCTCATGTCAGCTGCTCTCTCCTCCACTAGTCCCACAGAACCCTAAAACAGACTGCCAGCCTTGGGGAAAGTGGTGCCACCAAATTCCACAGCCCTTAGCTGTTTGTGTTTTAAGTGTTTCTGTAGCTTGTAGGATTCTGGTGACCTGAAACTGTGAAGAATATTGCACTGTCTGGGTTGACTCCATAGCTATTTCAACTGAAACGCTTGCCATTGTCTTTTCAGTTGCCAGGACAGATAGAAGAAACTGGGCTCTAGCCTTTCTTGAGGAATCAGTCCAGTTTTCTTATTATTTGTCTTATCCTCTGAGCAGGCAACGTCTTAAGCATAACCTCCCATTCCTCTCCTCCACGTACTATATTCATCTTGAAGGCACCTGGCTTGGCACAGGATCAGAGCATTCTCTTCTGTGTCAAGGCCATCCCTAGAGAAGGATCCAAGGGAAAGCGTTGGGGACAGCATATTATTGATGGTGCAGCTGAATTGTGAAAGAAGTGTGGTGTTAAAGGTTAAATCCTGCCTGGTAACTGTGGAAGGGCTTTGCTAGGACTACAGATGACTCCCCTGTGTATTTGGGCCATTGCTTTCAGATGGAAGTGATCTCAGGATCCACTATTTCCTTCCCAGAGCCTGTCCGGAGAGGCAGTTTGTCCCAGGGCCAGAGTTCCTTTAGAAAGGAGCCCGGTTCCAGAGCAGCAGGCTAGGGCAGGAAGCGGACACGTTGGGGACGATGGCAGCCGTAGCACGGTGTGACGAGGCGGCGCGGCGCGGCGCGGGCGCTAACGGTGCCGTCCCTCCCGCAGCGTGCAGGCACTGCGCGGCGCCGTGGGACCAGTACAGCCTGTGCTCCAGCCAGCACTGCCGGCAGCTCGTGCTGGCGTGTCCCCGCTGCCGCGGCGAGGGGCTCACAGCGTGCTGCGCGCTCTGCCGCGACAAGGAGCGCGCGGCCGCCGCGGGACAGGCGCCCAAGGAGGAGTGCGAGTGCACCAGGAGGCGGCCCCGGGTGCCCATCGAACGGGTCTCGCAGGGCACGCTCGCTGATGAGAAAGACTGAGCTGTTTGTTGAGCTCGCCTCGCGTCTGGCACCTTCCCTAACGCAAAGGACTTCCGAAACCAGATCCTTCCCCGTTACTGCAGTTAGGTTTGGATATCACACACAACGATTCGCTGGCTTGAGAAGTCTTGCTCCTACCCTGCACTTATACTGAGTCTGCCTGAAAAGTGCCCATTGCTGTGGTGTAAATGACCAGAGTGTCAATACATAATCCTGAACCATTTTTCTCCCTGTATGCAGTCTTGCACAGTTCTTCTCTCCTGGGGAGGAAGCAGAAGAACAGAATATGTGTTGGGGACACAGCTGTTCGTAGTTTGAAAGAAACTCAACAGCCGCAAGAAAATTCCATGCTGTTCCCCTCTTAAATTACAGGTGTGCATGCGTGGATCTGTCTGACTTCTCCATTGATCAAGGAGCTTCACTAGCTAGTGATAGGGCGATGAAGACAACAGGTGTTTTAATTTCTGTTGGTGTGAAGCAAGCTCCAGGCCTTGACTCCTGTGTAAAACCAGCTAAAGGCAGCGTGAGGCCCCTGGGGGCCCCTGTCCTAAATGGAGCAACGTTGGAGGAGGTGTCCTGCCCACAGCAGAAATAACCCTCGTTAAGATGCTCTGCCTTCCAAGGAACTGTCCATACCCCTCAACCTGTCACTATGTGAAATATCCAGGGCTCAGCTCTGCTTGCACGAGGGAAAAAAAAGAGTCGACAGCCTGAAGTGTGTTGAAATTGAGACACCAGTGGAGAGCACAGGGACTGCCAAAGCACCCGTGTGAGGGCACTGGAAGTGAGTGCTGGCATCAGGGCATAAACACCTGCAACAGCTACGAGAAGGTCATGTATCCAGGCTGAATAATCCGTGCTTTGGGGAGCCTTTGTGCATGGAGTTTTTCAAAGCTCTAAGATGTTCGTGCATTTCCAGCTTCTGTTGGCGTGGAGATCGTGTCTGACTTGGAATCTGCATCGCATGAGCTCTAAATACTGCCTGCTGCTTTGTGTGCTGCACAACGTACCCAAAGGTTTTATTAGTACTGTGGGGGATGTGTCATGACTGGAAAAATCTTTGATTCTTATTCTGGTTTTTGGTACTAAGTCATTAGTCATTAGGAAGGGAAAAACACTTTTTAATTATCTCCTTAGCAGCTAATGCTTTTGAAGACATGGAAACGACTTACTCGGGCTCCTACAGTTGCTCAGTGTCAGTTAGGGCAATGTTACTTTAATGCAGCTTATAACCTTCCCCCACAGGGCTACAAATCCAGCACGGTCTCACTGGAGGCTGCATTGGCAGCTAAAGACAGGGATACTGGTTCCATTAAAGCCATTGCAAGGCATTTCTCCTTCTTGCAGTGCTGCCAGCGAAAGAAGCTGCTCAATAATGGTCTTTATAACAGTACCTTTCATAAAGCAAGGCTTGTAAACTAATCAGTGTGAACACTGGGGATCTTTCCAGGACGGCATTTAGAAGCAGGAATTCTCAGTGTGATCCAGACCAGAGTAGCAATCAGGAAACTCCTATCAGGAGGAGGCATCTTCAGCAGGAGATGGGGCAGGATCCAGGCTGCCCTGGCACACTGCTTCCCAGGTCCTGCTCTTCAGCTTCCCTGTGTGCCTCAGAGACCTGGAATATTTGTGGTAAACCGTGCATGGACAACCATGCAAGCTCCATGCGCACACCTGGACCCAACTCTGAGGGAGGAGCCCCGGTTTTACATCCTTTTTTTCAGATTATTAGGCTAAAAAGCCCACCGCTTTGTACTTTAATCTAGCAGTGAGCCTGGAAAACTGTAATCCCTTCGGAAGGCTGTTTTTATGCAGTGTGTCAGTAAAGGATGGCAGGGAGCTAGGCGGCATTTACACGTGAGGGTCTGAAATCACTGATTTCAGGGACAGACGATGCCCAGTGTTTTGTCACCTTCGGCACAACACAGAGATACGGGAGGCAGGGCCCACACGCAGCCTCCGGGAGCTCCTCACACCTGCACGGCCTCCATCCCTTCCTACCCCATCCCTTCCCACAGGAGCCCACGGGCGGCGGATGCTCCCTCTGCAGGTCAGCACGTTACTTTCCGTGGGGACAAAGGCTGCTCTCTCCTCTCCATCAGTCACCTCCCTGCTCACCTGGCCCCTTCCTGCTGCCAGGGCCAGGCAGGTCTCAGCCACGACCCAAGCCGTGAGGTTGCGTTTCCTAAATCCTGACCCTCTGTGTGCTCCCGCTTCGGAGCAGAGCTCATGGTGAGCGGGAAAGAAGCCGTGGTGAAACACTTTATTTGACACTGCTCAACACATTTATTAAGATTTGAAGAGATCCCCACATTGCTGACAGTATAATGTCATTGGTCAGAGTTAAACGCTCTGTGTTACTCGTGCACCAGCTCTCCTGGAATCTACGGGACTTTTGCTGGGAAACAAACTCGTGAAGGCTGCTAACTGCTCTTAACAGATGCATGCAGGCGGGTTGCTAGCAAGCGAACACGTTTGCCAGGACCTATTGCCATTGGAATAAGGCTTTGGAACGGCAGCGCTCCCACCAGGGAGCCCCTTCCCACCCAAAAGGATCCCGCCCAAGTCGCAACAGCAGCAGCTTGGGATGGGATCGTGTCCGCGAGCCTGGGGGATTCGCCAAGGATCCAGACAGGCTCCGGACACGCTCCGGCACCAGGAATCTGAAGGGGATGGGAAAGGGAGCGCAGGACCCTGGTCTGAGGGTGACATTGTCCCTCTCCAACGGAGACCTAGGACACGAGGGTATTAAACGGCCCTTTCTGCAGTGCTCACGTGTTGGGAATCCAGTGCTTTGTAATCCGTGGCATTACAGTCTTTCAATCCAGGATGAGGGAGGGAAATCAGTCTTTTAAGAAACAGGGATGCATTTGGAACGGCATCTCCAGTTAACTGGCTTGGCAAAGGATGGTAAAGGTTCCTTACAGTAACCGAGTTTCGGGATACGAGAAGCGCCTCTTAAACTTTTTGCTTTCTGTAGTTACTGGAGATCAATTAAAAATAAAGTATTGTTTTTTAGTACTCCTGTAATTTGTGTGGAACGATGGTATTTTTCTCTCATGCATGCCACATCCTAAATATTCAAAAGGCCGTGCAGGAAAAATTATAGCAAAACTAGGTCCTAGCTTAATTAAAAGTCACCATTAGAGCGGGATGTACCCTCAGCCAAGCCTGCTTTAAACTGTGTTGCATTGCTACTGCCTCCAATAGTTTCCAGCTCTAGAGCAAACGCCAACAGTCCTACTGGGTAAACCCCCCAACTACAGCCGCTAGTTAATGATTTCAACCGTGAGTGCAGAACAGGGTGCGAGTGACCACAGCGGCCAAGGCACTTGCAGCCTGGGGCTCCGTGGTGCAGATCCCCGGGGACGAGCGGCGCGGCCGGCGCCTACACCCCCGTCCGGCACTTGGGGAAAATGGGCCCGTTCAGCTCCGCCAGCCGCCTCTTCCTCACTGCAAAACAAAAGGAGAGCAGTCGGACACGGCAGCGGGAAGCAGCCTTGCCCGGCGACACGGCACCATGGGAATCCCTGTCCGAGATCCCGCGGGAATCCCTCCGAATCCCTGTCCCGAGAGCTGCTCTGCTGTCTGCTTTTCCTATCTGTGAACTGGTTAATGGGAACAAGTTGGAATTTGTGTCCCTGTGGCTAGAAGCCATCCTGACCCTGCCTCCTTGGTGTTACAGACGGTTATATTTGTGTTGCACCCACTTGTCTTTGCAGTCCCTCTGCTATCACGTCTCTTCTACATCCACTGCTGACTTCTTATGTGAGTTTCCCTTTGCCAGTCTTTCCTACTCCTCTCAAATAAGAAATGAGATGGATCTTGTTTATCTGAACCTCTGTTTTCAACCTCCTGTGTTTTGACCGTGGTTAACAGGCTCAGAGGAGTCTCATACCTTCTCAAAAAGGTGATTTTGCAAGAAATCAGCTGTGACTTTGGAAGAAATATTTGCAAGGGAAAAAAAAAAAAAGAAAAATAAGCTGGAAAGAGGATGCAGAAGTTAGTTCATGAGAACGAATACAAGAGCCTTCGCAGCCAGTTTGGACAGGGCACCTTAAAGAAGAGGAGCTTGAGGAGCAAGCCCAGACTCTGGCAGCATCGGGTGACGGCAGCCCACAGCAGCGCAGTGCGCACGCAAGCAGAGAGCTGTTGCCGACAGGGAGGGAAATAAAGTTTTTCTATACTTATGGGTTGTCCAGGTGCGGCGCTGAGACGCTATTGCCAGACCCCACGGCACCGATGAACGCGAGCTGCAAACAAGAACCACATCACATCATGTGCCCATCGCGCGCTGCCTTTGGGGCAGCAGCAACCAAAACACGACACCCCTGGCTCCTTCGGATGACTAAAGCGTGTGGGCTGGGTTTAGTGCCACCTCTTTGTGATGGACAGTGATAAATCAAGCCTTTTCTCTGGCCCTGTTGACCAGACATCAATGGGACTGGGGGGGGTCCCGGGGGAGCTGCTGTTTTTGCTGCATTCAAACCATTACCCTGCAGGAGTGATCTGCAGTGGGTTCTACAGGGTCAGCCTGGAGACGAGCCCTGGCCTTGGCTGAAAGGGTGATTTCCCAGCTTGCCCACACTGGGCTTCTGATAGCGATACTGATATTCTCATATTAACGCGGCCCAGAGCCACGCGGCTTCACACCTCTCCCCAGAAATTCCTTCAGGCTGATTTACCGAAGGGAACTGGCCGAGACCTGCAGCCTTCGTAGTTCTGATCTCCCGTTTTTCATCTCCTTGTTAAGGTGGAAACCAAACCAGCGTAAGAGGAGCCGCTGGCGGGACTCGGAAGCGCTGCCAGCTCACAACCCTGTCACTCACATTATTACCGCAGCACAGCAGCAGCTCTCGCTGCCTGCGCCCCCGAGCCCCAGCAACGGTCAGGAACAGCGTTTTCCAGCCACACGCGTCCTCCAGGAGCAGAACCGGCCCCATTGCCGGCGGCGGGGCCGTGCAGGAGGCCGGGGCGGCGCGCGGGGCTGCCCCACTCACCCAGGTCGTTGTTGCTCATCATGGCGTTGGAGGCGCGCAGCCGCGGGCCCTGCTGCGTGAAGTGGTAGCCGAACTTGAGCAGGGACGTGTTCCTCTCCAGCATGTTGGCGATCTCCATTTCGACCTTGTTGCCCAGCGGCTGGCTCTTCCCGAGCACAAACAGAGAGGCACGTGAGGGCAGGTGGTTCCTAGTGCTGCTTTGTGGTTCCTGTTGCTGTGCTCCCACTGTGACTGCCTCCTTGCTGCTGCCCTCGGGAGGATCCCCTGACTTCTCCCTCGCTCGCTCTTTGGATATATTGGTTAATGTAGCATTTCTGGCCAACAAAACCAACTGAGCCCAATATCGGGCTCGTGTGCCACGAGCTCTGCCTCCCAAGGCTGCAGAGCGGCCCCAAGGGCCCTTCTCGACCAGCCCTGTGGCTCCTGACAGCAGAACCCTGCTGTTCCAGCCCAGCTCCCGGCCCTCTAGGAGATCTACCTGCCATGGCATCTGCACCACCTCCAGCCTTCTCCTGCCTGTACCTTCCGTTTCCCTCCTTCACGGTACAAATTCCAGTTTTAGCAACTGCCTATTATAATTTAAGTAGGTTGTACTAATGGACCAGCGCATTGCTGCATTCCCAGGACAACACTGGGAGCAGGGAGCTGGCATGGCCACAGCACTTGTTAATTATTGCAGGTCGCATCCAAACCCGCCCAGGAGGAGCAGCTAAGACCTGTCCCAAGCACAGTGACAGTGGCAGCAGCTCTGCTGGCCCAGAGCTCCTGCTGCTTTACCTGGTTGTCGATTCGGAGCTCGATGAGAGACGTGTTAAACTGCAGGGCCTCAACAACAGCCAGGATCCCCGACCCAGAAATGAAGTTCGACTCAATGTTCAGGCTCTTCAACGTGTTATTCTCCTTGAGCATCTCTGCCAGAGCCTGCCAGCAGAGACACACAGGGAGAACCTGCAGTGAGGCAGAGAGCTACGGGGGCTCAACGCTCACCTGGGTGAAATGCACGTGAAATACAGCTAAAGAACATGTATGTGTGTGCACACAGGGCCATACAGCTGCATGTGAGCACCAAAAAATGCAGTATGAGGAGCAATGAACAGAAACGGGCACATTTCTTCTGAGACTCTAAAAAAATATATCACCAAGAAGTCAATTCTTATCTATCACTCTTCTCCTGGGAGATTCTTAAGAACAAATATACTGTCTAACAGAATTAAAGAAGGATTGCGTCTTGGAATAAAGAACTGACATCTCCATTGTGGAAGAAAGGAACAGGAGAAAATTAAACCTGTCTTTTGCTTCCTTTCATTAAGGAAAATGAAATGCATGAAGCAAAAAACAAAGGCACAGAACATGCCAAATAAATACCATGTAATTCATAGCAGCAACAAGCAGCTCTGAAAATACTATACCCATGATCAACTCACGTGACAACTTCCTTGCAACAACTGGCTTACGTGGCACAGCACTTACTTACCAAAGCGACCGGATCATTGCTCCTTGTTCCAACTATACTGAACTTCTTCACATAGGTGTTACTCTTCAGTGCTTCAGCACAGGCTTTTAGAGTTGGGATGGGAATATTCTGTGAAAAGAAACACAGAAGATGTGTTAGGTCCTCATCTGTCTTCATATTTGTGGTACTTGTCTGTGAGCAGTCTTTTATATTCAATCAATGTTTAAAAATTATTAATAAAGATCAACTATCACGATGAAGGTGCAACCATTTCCAAACGTTCTCAGGGAAGTCATGAGGGAGATGATACATGTTTTTTTTCTTTTAAAGTTATGTAGCTAAAGTCATCATGGTTTAAGGACTATGGGAATTTCTCCATCCTGCTAACTCACTGCCTTGACTGAGACGTCTAATGTCTCTCCCATTTATAAACTCAGTTTCTCAACAACCAGGTGCTGTGGGGATATATGAGCACAAAAAACACTATTTTTTTGTGCCTTTTTAATAATAATGACTGCATTGTAAAAACATTCATGCCATGTTCAGGAATATTTCAGCCTCTGGGTCTGAGTTTGGCACAACCTGAAATGATCTCCTTGTAGTGCCAGCAACAGCCACTTCACGTGCTTTATACAATTCCTTTCAGAGGATATCATCTCTTCCACCTCCAGTCCCCAGTTTTCTGGAGCAGGTCCCCAAAGTCATGAGCCTAACCCAAAAACAAGCTCCTGCTTTTTGCAAACCTGATGTCCTTAGGGTACACTCAGGATCACTGGCCACAGTTAAAAACACTGAAATAAAAATCATTTCAATAACGACAGGTGAAAAAAGCATGAGTAACATGCAGGTAACCGTGTTCCTGCTTTCTGAATGCCTCGTCCTTTAACAAGAGAGACGGGGGGCTGCAGTTAAAGAGGGGAGATGGGCACTGGGCTGTTCAGCCCGTGTATGTGTCCCAGAAGCAATGTAGAAGGTTGTGCTGTGCCGTGGTCTCTGCTATGAGTGTTCAAAGGTTTGCTCTCATCACTAAGGGAGCAGAGCAGGACGGAGCAGATACCCCGATATTATTCAGGTTGACTTCCTCAAGGTCGGGGTCGTTGCTCTGTATCCGTTTGAGAGTCTCCTCCACGTCGGTCGAGTTCGGCTCCTCATCGGGAACTGGCTTGTACTGCGTGGGCTTAATGACACCTGCAAGACAGAGCAGGACACGCGAGGCCCGAGCACGGCGAGCACCACGTCGTGGGCACAGCAGCAGCAGTGCCGCTGCCCTAGCCGCTCTCTGCCATCCCGCGGCCCTTCCGGAGCCCCCGCACGGGCATTCCCAGCACTGAACACCAGGAGACGTCCGGCTGCAGCAGGAATGTTCCCCAAAGGCTCCAGCCCAGCACCAGCAGCACCGCCGAGCCAAGGAAGGGCCATTCGCTCACACATAACCTTGCCATGAGGACCAAAGAAAACAAAATCCAACCCACGGAGTAGGAATAATTCCCAGGTTTTCTCTGCTCGCGGCTTCGCAGCCGGCAGCCAAATACTGCAGATGACAAAGCACTTTTTACACCACTTACTGTTGAGCCCTTCTTTGTTCACGATGGTGCTGCTCCCCAGGGCGCCGTAGTACTGCTGGTTGCTCATCAAGGTGTGCATGCCCAGGATGGCTATGGAAAAGGAGAGGGAGAAGACAGACTGAGGTAGTGTAGGCTGGAAAGCCAGGAAACACAGTGGCTTTGTGCACCTCACATCTGCCTTCGTGCCTCTCTTGTTGCAGGGCTGCCCAGGACAAATCCCTTCTGTGCAAGCTCCGAACAACATGCAAGGTGGGAGCGAGCCCCCAGCCTTCAATAACACACAGCACAGCTCTGCTGTGCTCCTTGCTTCTTGGCACGAGCAGTTTGATCTATAGGGAGAAGAGGAACATCGCTGTCCCATGGACAGCAAACAGCGGACGTTCCCCTACAGCAGCCTCAGCCAAGCGCCATACAAAAGTGTGAAATAAAACCAGTGCTGTCAGTGGGATTTAATGCAAGGCCCAGTGCAGCAGGAGCCACAGGAGCTGTGACAGTAGCTGCGACACACTCAAAACCCAGCGGCTCTCACACAGTAACCCTCGATGCCAAGGCACTGGGTGTCCATGGTATCTGTCCATGAACCTACCTACCTTTTCACAAAATCAGCAGGGCTTTGAACTGATCTCTGTCCTTTTTAATACCTGGCAACTGACATTTTAAACACCTAGGGCTGCACTGCAGAAATGCTGAAATAAAGAAAATGATGGTGCAAACACACTTCAAAGGCTGCAAAAGTACAAAAAGGCAAATATCTGATAATTTGTGAATCTCAACCTCATGACCACAAAACCGAAGTGCAAACACGCATACACTTAGCAAGAGGCCTATGAGGTCTGCTGACATTCTTGCTAGCTGCTGATGAGCAGTGAGAAGCCAAGGCTAAAAACATTTGGGAGAAGATTCTTATAAAAATAAACCTGTTCCTCACAGAAAGTTTGTGCTTAGAAATAAAATGGGGTTTCATTTTTTTTTTCTAAATATATGTAGCTTTCTGCAGAATGTTGCATGCATGTAGATAGTTGCTGTGGACAGACATATGTGTTTCATCTCAAAGCATGTGGGGGACAAGCAGGTGATGCGGATGGATCAACCTGGGTTCACCAAGGGGAAATCCTGCTTGACCTGCTTGAGGTGATGAGGAACCTCATGGAGCTCAACAGGGGTAAGTGCAGGGTCCTGCCCAAGGCAGGAGCAGCCCCAGGACAGGCTGGGGGGACCTGCTGGAAGGCCCTGGTGGTCCTGGTGGCCACCAAGTTGACCATGAGGCAGCAATGGGTCCTTGTGGCCATGAGCCTGTTGGTGTCCTGGGCTGTGTGGGGAAGCCCCAAGAAGTGAGGAGCAGCAAGGCTCTCTCTGGGGCTCCTCTTCTGGCACTGGGAAAAACCCTCAGGACTTGCAGAGCCCCCAGGCACGAGAGCAGCCAGCCAGGCTTGCAACAGGCAGGGTGCAATCACCAGGATGGGGAATGAGCCTTGGTTAGGAGGCAGGAGCTGTTTAACAGCCACTGAACAGGCTGGGAATGGCAAGGCTGGCACTGCCACCACCGCGACTTCAGCACAGCCCCAACCGCATCAGCTCTCCCGCTGCACTTCCTAGGGGATCGGGATCCTCCCCCAAACCACAGGAGAAACGGCCCTAAGCAGCATTTCTCCATGAAAATACGGACTTATTATCACCTAGCAAACCCTTGTTTTTATAGGATAGGCTTTACAGGGCGTTCCTGCTCCTGATGCTTCCTCCGTTCAACGCTGCAGGGCTCTGGCCACATCCGCCGGCACTCACTCAGATCAGACACCCAGCGACGTCTCTGCTACAGCTGAAGGCCAACGCGTCTGAAAGACCAACGTGTTGGTACCCGCTCTCCTGGCAGCGTTTGCAGGCATTTCACGGGCTCGTCAGCGTGCAGCCCGTGAGCACCTCACCCTTACTGGAGGGCGGTGGATCTTCTGCACGGGTCTGCAGAACAGGCACCTCCTCTAGGGACAGGCTGTGGATTTAAAGGCCATTAGATGTCCCAAATGGACCAATACAGGGGATTTCAGTAACCCAGCTGAAAAAAAAACAAAAAAGTACTTTCTCCTACCACCAAAGAGAAAATAGAGACTCTATCTCCTTCCCCAGGAATCTGTCCAGAGGCCAAACCTGTAATTGTTAGGACTGGCATTTGCATTAGTCGTAGCAGAACTTAAGCAAATCATTGGTCCTTCCTGCACCCTGCTGGACTTGTTTTAGGAACACTGTCATGGACACTGAATATATGCAGCAGTCTGGGCCCTGCTGATCTGTTCTGCTCATTATTTCTTTTCAACTTGATCCTGAAGGTGACAGACTGCAACTTGCAGGATCCAATGGCAGAGGCAAGAGAAGACCTCCAACAAGGTGCTCCATTCCCTTGATAGATCCTTTATCTTCTTATTCACCTTGGGGTTGTGCTCCTGATAAAATTAGATGACGGGGTGGTTGGGCCGAAAGAAACTTTAAATACCCATTTCATTTCGAGTGAATAATCCTGCAAGAACTAACAGAATTCATAGAAACACCAAAAATCTCATTCAGTCTTTTCCCACAAGAGAAGCTCAAAGAAAGGAAAAAAACCAGTAGTTAAGCAACCCAAACCCTGTTTCATGCAAAACTGTGTTACCAGCAATGTCACAGAGCTCTGCATCAGATGCATTAGCAAGGGCTTCCTCCAGTTCTGGCTCCAGGGTCACGCTTTCCAAAACAGGATCCATTGGCGTCTGCTTGGGGATCCAAGCTTTTCCTATAAACACAAAGAGAGGTCACTCCCATTGCCCTTATTACAGCAACTGCAGAGCAGGATTTTACTGGTGTTACTGGTGTTTCCACCAGGAGGGAATCCACACAGTGGACAAGACACAGAGCGGGCACAAGAACCTAGGGAGAAAGCAGCGCCCGGAAAGGTGCAGACTTGCTGGAGTTGGGCTCGGCTTAGTCCCTGTGGTACATGCAAGTGCATGCACCCTTGCCAGGAGGGACTCCTTTGCACAGCAGGGTGGGCCAGGCAGCACCCTGGGCCCGGCCTGGCAAGGCTGCACTTACGAGGGCTGCATGGAGCCGTGTGAGAGGGGAGCGCTCCGGGAACCCCCTGCATCAGCCGGGAACGCCAGGGTGCGGGATCATGCGCTCTCCTGGATCACTCGTCTCTAAGAGGATTCCCGCTGCTAATTCCCGGTGCACAAGGGCACGGCAGGCAGTCCTTGCCGAGGTGAGGGCGGGAAGGGAGGCCGTGAGGCGTCCAGGCCCGCGGGGAGCCCGATGCTCTCGGTGGGGTTGGCAGCTGGGCAGGACACAGGTTTTGTCCCAAAAGTCACCATTTGGTGGCAAGGACCCAGAAGGTGAGGGCATGACGACCGCGCTCCAAGGAGAAGCAGTGAATTCCCCATGCTCCAGAAGCACCGTCTCTGGGTCCCCATGTTCCAGGGAAAGCAGGTGCTGCCGAGGCCGTGGTGGAGGAGCGGGCAGTGTGGAGCTCTTGCCCCGTCTCCCTCCGGGAAGGGATAGCGAGCGCAGCGCCGGAATGCCGGGAACGGCTATTCCTGTCGGCACCAAGGGGCAGGACAAAGATCCCGCCGCTCAGGGACATTCGGCAGCAGCAGCAGCTAAATTTAGAGCATTGCAGGGAGCAGCTGCACCCTGGGGCCGCTCCAGGCCCACCCAGGCCTGGGTTTCAATTTTAAGCAATTGCATATTGCTGTGACACTTCATTACAAGTTTTTTTTCTCCTAAATTCAGTGGTATGTGCTAGCACAGCTCCATATATCATGGTAGAACATGGATGTACATATCAACTCCTGCCCTGTCCACCAGCAGGAGAGCAAACAGATCCTCCCATGAGATGTTTACACTGTGAAAACATGGTAAATGTTTTCAGATTGGCAAATCTGAAGATTTATAGCCAGCTCTGTGAACTGAACCAACTTTTGAGCAAGTCATTTAACATCTCTGGCTTGCATCCACTGTAAGCAGCATCCTCAGTTTATAGACTCACTTACAACTGAAACCATATATAATGTGTTTTAGGTGATTAGATGGAAATACAATTAACCTATAGCAAAAGCTGAAGATTCCAAACCCCTTAAATCTCTCTCTCTCCTCATGAGTACTGTAACCTTCTGCTGTGTTGGAGAGGTGGGTAAATAAAGCTGGTTTGAGACATGCTGAAAGCTGCTACATTACTCTTCCCCACAGCACTTGATTTAATCTTTTCATTACTTCTTCCAAGGAGAACTCAGTTTTTCTAAAAATACCCCCGTGAGATTTACTGAATCAGACAGATTTAAACATGAACTTTCTCTCACAGATGCATGTGGATCGCTAAGGAGAAGAAGTCATCAGCTCTGAGAATGCCTGCACGTGGAAACGTGCATGCCTGTAGTTTTGGTACCCCAGCATGGCTTGGCCACTGGATATGGGCATAACAATAAGCATAATAATTATAATAAGTATAGTAAGTATAGTAAGTACAGTAAGTATAGTAAGTATAATAAGGGCAGTGTGGGGCACACAGAAGCAGATACGGGCTGCCCTGCAGATACACTGACCCACTAGGCAACCACCAGTGTCAGAAGACAGGGCAGGCCTGGATGGGGTCCTGGATGTCCCATGTGGATAGGGTGAGGCAGGACCTGGAAGATGGGAACCCGCGGGCCGCTCCGCGCGGCGCTCGGGGCCACCCTACCTCTCTTCTCTCCCGTGAACGGCACCAGGTCCTCTCTGTCCTTCACGTCCTTGGCCTGCTGCTCCAGGTGGGCCATGAGCTCCTCCCTTCGGAAGGGGCCGGTCGGCGGCTTTTGGGTCTGGTCCCGCTGGCGGAGCCCCGCGGGGAGCAGCGCGTTCTGGGCCGGCGGGAGAGACGCGGGTCACGCTGGGAGCCCCGAGCCCTGTCCCGAACCCCACACCCCGCTCCCCGCACGGGGCTGCCCTCTCCAGGCTCCCTGCTCCTCGCTGCAGCATCCATCCCACCCCAGCGCGGATTCCCGCGTGATCCAGGCACACCTTCTCCCTCCCGGTGACGTTCTGCACGCTGCAGGAGCCTCGTGCTGCAAACGGGACGTTCCTCCACAGCGGGAGGCCCGGCCCTTTCCTCAGGGTCCTTCCCAACCACCACCACCTTCTTCTCTTCCCCCCATTTCTGCTGCTGCTCGGCAGCCGTTTCAGAGCTTCCCCTTGCCCACGTGCTTGGCCAGAGCTGCCAACACACGCGCTCCGTGTTTCCAACCACAGAAACCCCTTTGTCCCTTCTGGCTCCCATGTCCCCAAACCAGAGGGCAGTTTTCACAGTGAGGGTGCCCTCAGAGCCGCTTGCACTGTGCAATAACCCCCGAGGACCCCATCCCTCCGGCCGAACGTCCCTGCTCCCCGTCATACGAGCCGCCACGAGGAGCTGCCTTGTGCCTGACACACACAGCGCCTATAAGCACCTGCTTATTTTTAAATATAGCACAGCCTTAATGCAGTAAGACTACTCCCCAGATTTGACACTAAGCGTGTTCTTTAGAGCTTTGCTGGGGAGGAGGCAACATTTATTTTTTAAGACATCCAAGGCAACGTTGCACCCGATGCTGATTTTCCCTTGCTCGCCTAATAGGAGGAATTAACGCACAACGCACAAGCAGGTATCTGTAAGAAACACGCTGCTTCCTCAGCTTTGTGCTGTGAGAAGTCCCCGTGCCATCTTATTTTAACTCCAGCATTCAGTGCAATGACAGGCGAACGCAATTGCTTCGCTTTCCAGCATCTTTCAGCGAACGCTGCCTTCACAGACCGCAGCCACCAGCCTCCAGCACACACACTTCGTCCTAGCAGATTGCCTGACACCTCTCCATTATTCTTCTGTGCTGATGCTTGGGATGAAAATCGCTGAAAACCTGGGCTACCCATTGTGCTCCCCAGAGACATTAACAATTTCTCTCTTGGCAGTGTCCAGCCTCACCAGATAATAAACCTGCTCTAAGCCAAGTTGGCCCTCTGCACCCACTGCTACGGGCACAGGGTGGCCCTGCCTTCAGCACTGCCCTCGTGCCTCGGTGCAAGAACCCCACGTGCAGGCCAAGACCCTGCTGCAAAAAAAGGCTGTGCAGCAACAGGGCAACAGCTTAAGTTTTGCTCCAACATCCCACTTAAGTATTGAATCAGGAAAAAAAAAAAAAAACAAAAAAAACACATGGAAATGGAGGACTAAAAAGCAAAATCCCATCCCCAAACCAGAGCTCTCAATGGTCAAACTGCTTCAGTCCACCTGGGGCCACTTTCCTCCATCCATGTGCTGAGTAAAGGCTCTGCAACAGATCCCACTTAAATACAGGTCACTAATGCAGCCTATTTGCCCACTTCTTTTTTTTTTTTTCAAAAAAAAAAGGAAAATCCTTCTTAAAAAAAAAAAAAAAAAAAAAAAAAAAAGACTTACATCAGGATCCAGCTCTTCCAGTTCATTTTCCAGCTTTCTGAGCTCCTCCTCTGTCAGGGCTCCAAGGATCTTGTCTTCATCCAGGTCTCGGTATTTTTCCAGCCCCTTTCTGTAAGACATCTTAAGAGGGGTCTTGCAAACCTATTTCTTAGGCTGGAGCAGGTTCTGCACCGAAAAACAAGAAGCACCCCAGTGAGTACACACATAAAACACGGGGATGCAGCAGTGGGCATCCCTGTGGGATGCAGCACTGTGTATCCCTGTGGAAGGAAGAGCTGCCGAAGGTTTCTGCAGGAAGCAGGACTAAATCCGGAGCTAGGGGAGGCTGCTCAGGCACCCTCCCTGCTCAACCCCTGGCAGTGCCATCCCAGACTTTGCGTCGTGCGGGAGCCTGGCTGGCGGTTTCTCCCTCCAGGTAACACTCGACATTAAGGAGATGACCTATGTGGCAATTTTACTGAGGGATATCAAGCCATGGATCATAAGGGCTGCAATTTTTGCCCCCTTGCAGACCCCCAGTAAAACCGCTCCATGTCTGGTATTGTGGATAACGGGACCAGGTCATGTCACCTCTGAATACACGTGGGCCCTGCAGGTCTCCTCGAGGCCTCAGATCTCCGTGCAGAGCGTTTCTCCCTGTCACACCGGTGTCCCACGGGCGGGGAGATCAGGAACTATGGCTTACCTGTGTTCAGGTGAGCACCCTGCTCAGCTACGGCCCTCGCTGACACAACACGTGTGTCTGCCGGGAGCCCACACCTGAGCCAATCCCTCAGCAAGAGGAATGGGAGAAGCACACTAACCCACGGATCTGGATAATCCCTGCCAACGCAGGGTTTCGTGCCAAGCCTCTCCATGCAGAATGCCACAAGCAATCATCTGTCCGTCCGTCCATCCATCCATCCATCCATCCATAGCTGAACCCCTGCCAGCTCCAAAGAAAACCATGGCAGAGGGGAGGCTCAGGGAGATCTCCTCAGGGTATATAAATATCTGATGGATATTGTGTGAGGAAGATGAGGCTCCTCCCGCGGGTGTCCTGAGAGGCAACGGCACAAGCTGCAGTGCAGGAAGCTCCATTGGAACATTAGAAAAAACATTTTTTTTCCACTGGGAGGGTGCTCCTGCACTGTGAACATTAAATCCCACTTTTTTTCCATTGGGAGGGTGATCCAGCTCTGGCACATGCTGCCCAGAGAGGCTGTGGAGTTCCCATCATCGGAGATGCTCCAAGGCATCTCCGGAACACGGTCCTGGGCGACTGGCTGTAGGTGACGAGGGAAACTCCAGTGACCCCTTCCAGCTTCAGGGATTCAGGTGAGCTCAACTTGCTTAAAACAGGCCAAAGGAATAAAAACATATTAGATCCTGAAACCTGCAACACATGAACACACTCAACTCCACTGTCTCTGCAGCCACATTTTTTGACCAGATCCTTGCACAGAATCTCAAGTGACATTTGCAGCAAAACAGCTGCAATCTTCACCCATTTTCCAACAAGCCAAAACCCCCTTTTATTTTGTATACCGCTCTTGCCTGTTTCCAGCCCCCTTGCAGTGTCAGAGGCCTTTGCCCAAGCTTTTGAGGCAGGTCGTGCTCCTACGATTGCTCTCCATGAGCGCAGGAGACTCTTCACGCAGCCCACATCGCAGCGGCGGCTCCTGATAACGCTATCTTCATCTTGTCCACAAAAGGGCACAGGAGCCCACACGCGGCCCGAGAGCAAGCCCTTAAATTTAGAGCAGCCATCTGGCGCAGCGTGCGCCTTCCCCCGACGCCGTTACAGCTGCTGCATCGCTCGCATTCCTGCCACTCGCCACTCGGGAAGCGGGGCCGGGAATGATCCCTGCGCCACCGGTGCAGCAAGAACAAGCCCTCTGCTTGACAGACCGAAAGGGAGCCTGCAAATGCTGCGGATGAGCTGCAGGAGGGCTCAAGTCCTCCTGTCTGGGCTCAAGTCTGGGCTTTCGGTGCTTGTCTAAGCAAAGCTGCCCCAAGCCCAGCGCTTTGCTGATCCGTTCTGGCCCGAAATGCGGAGTGTTTTGCAAACAAGGGCAACGCTGCAGCTTTTGCCCCGAAAGCAGAGCACGGAAATGTCTGACCTTGCTGCTGGCTGCCCAGAGGACAGCGGCTGTCAGCACCGAGAGGCGGGAGCGACGTCCGGGGCCGGTGGCCAGCGTTTCTGGAAAACGCTCCGGGTTCCAAAGCAAAGAATGGGAGGTCGGGCTGCACGCGGCAAAGGCTCTGAGTGCTGGGGACAGGTGCGGGGCGGCTCAAACACAGCCCAAACCCCCGCGGGGATTCCCAAATTCACCCGCCGCGAATCCCGGGCGCAGCTCGGGGCCCTCCCAAAACGATGACCCTCCAACACACGCGCAATGCTTGCACCCCAAGCACGGAACCGGCACCCCTCAGGGAAGAGCTCACCCGAAACCCATGAAGCTGCTCCACCAAATCCCACTAAATGCCAGCTCGGGGGTGCAAACTTGATCTCTGGCTATTTGCTGTTAAACCTACCTCTCTGGCAACTAAAGAAACGCTGCAACAAAATACATCCTTAACATGCAGAAGCTGTGCAGGACTGATGCTATTACAATGTATGTGGAAGGACAGGTAGTCAAAATTTAGCAGGCAGTTGTGATTAGGAGAGGGATGCAATTCCACAGGACAAATTAGACAAATTCCAAGGAGACAAGAATGTCATAAATAGAGATTTCCCATGACACCCGGTGTAACACAGTACCACAGTGGCCTTTAGCATGTTCACTCTGGGAAGCCCAGCCTGTGATTACACCAATTCCCATTTGCATCAGCACTGGAAGAGCAAAAAGTGACGGAGAGTATTTCCATAGACACACAGGGTCAAAGCACAACCACTTTGCATGGAAGACACAGGACTTTCCAGAGATGAATTCCAAGGCAAATCTAGGCTGTTGTCCCATTTTGGTGCTTCTTAGCAGGCTACAAGAAGCACTTGCACATCCATGGATCCCAGTGTGCATCTCCTGCAGCCCATAAAGCTCCAGGCCTTGTCTGCAGGGTGTTCGATGCATCTTAAATCACCACTGGTCACCCCAAATTGCCAGCAAATAGTTAATGCAAAGAACCCTGGGGAGAAGCCACGGCTGAGGAAACAAAAATCTGCCCAAAAGAACCCTCTCACCCATGGGAAAACATTTCCAGCAATTCGGAAGAGGAAAGCAGGCCAAGAGTTTGGTTTCTGAGACAGGTTTCTAGACAAGGAGTGTTACAAGTGGATTATTGATGATTCTTGGAAAAGCTGCCAAGTTTAAAGCAGAATGTCGCCTCGGATGAAGGCTCCCAAGCCCAGAAGTGCTGTTGTTAAGCAGCACTAGAGGCAGGAGTTGATCTTCTCAGAGACATCCTGAGAACAGTTTTTGTTTGGCTCACACAGGCTTTTGATTTATGAGACTTTTGGATGACTTAAGGAAAAAACACAAAGTTCAGAGCTGTTAATTTTACATTTTTTAAAAATAAACCTGTGTAAACCCATCCCTCCACAGCTGCTACAAAAAGCTTATTTGTTCTTTTTGACTTTCAGCATAACTTAGAAGATAAACACCAGGCGGTCTGGGGAACACAAATATGGATATGGACCTCAAGGGAACAATTACTATAAATTCAGGAGAACTAAGTACTTTCCATGCCCCTGTTTAGACCTCAGCACATCACCTGGGTGCTGGTCAGGCACTATCAGCCTTCCCTGTATGTTTTCCAGCTTCCCCTTGTGAAAGATCTAGCAGCAAAGGCACAGGATGGGCTGGTGCAGGGGGACCTGGGCATCCCCAGCTCCATCACACACTGTTTTACATCCAAAATCTCCCATGTCATTCCGGGACATGGGAGACGTGGAGCTGCCTTGGAGGGGCTGCATTGCCCGTGTCTGCAAGTTTGCTCCACTTCAAGTGAACTAGGACTACACTTTCTTCTTTATAGATACCAGGTCTTCGGTCTGGAGAAACAAAAGTAAAGTCAGTAGCTAAAGCCAGGCCTTTAAAAGGATGGTCTCCTATATTGTTTTGGGGGATAATTTCGTTTTCTTAGACAGGAAGGCCCCTTGTTTCTTCAAGCAAGCAATAAACACGGGTCCAGGCTATGGTGTCGAGCACTGTCTGTCTGCAGGGCTTCCACGCGGCCACCCTGCACACAGGAGATGCCGAAACCTCGAAAGTTTCAACAGGACTTCCTAGAAACCCTTCTTGTCAGTGCGAAGGACATGTTAGGACATGATGCTAAGGACATCTTGTCACATCTGGACAGGTTTTGGCAAGCTGAACGGCTCCAGAGGCCCAGCACGGGCAGGGGGCTAGGGCAGGTCTGGGCACCTGCATTCAGGTCTCTCCAGCCAGCAGGGAAGCAGGATGAGTGGGACGTCATCCACTGCCTACGGGAAGGGAATATTCCCTCATAGGGAAGAAGAGCAGTTCAACAGGGACACCCCCAATGCAGGTCCCCATGTTGGACCTATCAAACACTGCAGGGCTTTATCCGTGACCCTCACTCCCATCCAAGACATCCCCCTCCCATGTGCTTGCCCCGTTCCTTGTGAGAGACCAGGAAAAACTCCTTCCCCTGCAGATCTGAGGCACCAGGGAGATTGGGGGTCCATTCACTTATTATTTATCAATTATTTTCCAGATACACATGTTCTGACTGCATCCTTGAATGCACAGGAGGCTCCTTCCTAGCTCCAGACTTGCAAACAGAGGCACTAAGGAGAAAGCAGATCCTAAACCTGCTCCCGAGCTTTGCAACAACTCCAAGCACCTGCAAAACTACTGTGGAGCAGCAAACAAGCACACCCCTAGAGCTGTCACATGCAGCGGAGCACTCCGGACCAGCAGGGAACACATACTCCCCACAAAACGGATCATTCGGCACCTCTTGAGGAGATGAATCAAACTGGGTTAAACAGAGTTAAAACCCAGGCAAGGAAAACAAGTAACAAGACGGACCAGTTGCCTGCAGACTGGCTGGGCTTTCCCAAAAGGAAAGGAGAATTCCCTGGAGAACGAGAGCGAGCCACGCACTGTGGACATGAGCTAAAAATGCGTTTCCGTGCAGAAAGTTCCCAGAGGAGCAGCATGACGGGGAGGTGTGCGGAGAAAAGGCACCGTGGAGGCAGCAAGGCAGGCACTGCGCTGGGACATCGGGAACATTCGTGCTCCAAAAATCCAGGACGCGTGTCCCAGCACGGTGCCAGCTCGGTCCAGGCACCACAGAGCCGTGTCGGCATCCTGGGAAGTCCAGGGGGAAAGGAAGGGATCCCTGCATGCCCTGGGACGGCTTTGGAGGAGGCTCCGTGTCCCGGTGCCGTCGCTGCGCCCTGCCATCGGAACGGGTCCCAGCGGGAGCTGCCGGACACTTGAGGGAAGGGGGCTCACTCAGGCCTAAAAATAGCCCCGGCAGCCTCATACGGACTAAAAATAGTTAGAACAGCGCCTGGGAAGGCTGCCGGGGGCAGGACAGCTGGGAAGCCAGAGGGACGTGGAGCAGCGCGACCGTTTCGGGAAGGGAGGCAGGCAGCTGAGCTCACCCAGGCGGCCGTGGAGGCGATGGGAAGCGATGGGAAGAGTGAGGCAGGATGCGCTCCGGGCTCCGGCAGCCACAGGGATGCAGGGAAGGGGTCTCCTCTCCTCCAGCGCCGGCTCTGCCGGTGCACAAGCTCCGCGGCGCTTCCAAGCCCTCCGGCCGCCAGGGAGAGGCAGCTGCTGCGGGAGCAACAGCAGCGAGAGGGAACGGGGATGAGAAGTGATAGAGGGAAATAATAATGAAAGAAGATACAGGACGGAATGAAGGAAAAGGAAAACAAAAGATGAGTGGAATAAAGGTGAAAGAAAAGATAGGATGGAACAAAGATTTAAAAAAGGGGTTAAAATAGAAGAGGAAAATAGCGTAAAAGAATAAAATGGAGTAAAATAGAGTAAAAGTATAAAATGGAGTAAAATTGAGTAAAAGAACAGAAGAGAGTAAAACAAAATAGGGTCAAATAGAATAGACCCAAATAGAGTAATATACAATAGGGCAATATAGGATAAAATAAAATAGAGCAAAACAGAATAAAATAAAATAAAATAAAATAAATAAAATAAAATAAAATAAAATAAAATAAAATAAAATAAAATAAAATAAAATAAAGTAAAACAGAATAAAACAGAATAAAACAGAATAAAACAGAATAAAACGAAATGAAATGAAATGAAATGAAATGAAATAAAATAAAATAAAATAAAATAAAATAAAATAAAATAAAATAAAATAAAATAAAATAAAATAAAATGACAAACGGTATGGGCTCGGAGCAGGAGCGAAACCAACCCGCGCTGGCGAGGCGGGCTGGCCGCCGGGCACGGGCTGCTGCCCGCGCCGCCCCGCAGCGCCCCGCAGCGCCCCGCTCCG